TTATCAAGTTCAACACGAACTCAAAATATAATAATAAAACTTGAACTCGAAAAGGCTCGAACTCAAAAAAATTTAGAAGTTTGATTGAAGCCAAAAATTTGAGCTCAATTGAAGCGAAAGAATAGTTCACTCTGTGCTCACCAAAAGGCTCCATGATTTTGAATGTCAAATTACTCTATTATTTATAGAAGTAAGTTGGGATGCTCTTCTATGTTTCTTAGCTATGTGGGATTGTTTTGTTTTCATATTTTTACTCTTTAAACTTTTGGGATGCTCTTCTATGTTTCTTAGCCATGTGGGATTGTTTTTTTAAAAAAAAAATTAAACCAAATGACATCATTTGTTATGATTTTTTTAAGCCCCAATTTTATTTTTTTGATTATAGTTATATAATTATATTTATTATTTAATATGTTTTACCTTAAATATTATGTTGTAGTTGATTTGAATAATTTTGTTTCACTTGATTTTATGGTTTTTAATTTATATATGTTATTACTTATGATATTTTTATACCTTTTAATATTGTAAACTTAAAAAAAGTGTTACATATATATTAATATTGCTTTGAATATTATGTAAAATTAAAAAAAAATTATTTTATATAAAATCCGATTCAACCGCGGTTGAACCCGGTTGAATCAGTGAATCAGTACCTTCACCGGTTCAATATCCAGTCTGATTTTAAAAACATTGGTATTTATAGTTCTAAAACCCTAAAGGTGTCTTATTGCATTCGAATAGTGAGTTGACGCTAAAAGGGTGGTGTGACTCTGATTGGGCTGTATGTCCTCCTACATGTCGATCATTGACAGGTTGGCTTGTTTTCCTTGATCACTCTTCTATCTCGTGGAAGACTAAAAAGCAACACGTTGTTTCGCGTTCATCAACAGAAGCAGAATATCAATACATAACAGATGTTACTTGTGAGTTAAAATGGCTTAAGGGCTTGTTATTTAGCTTGGGTGTTCATCATCTCAAGGTTATTCCCTTATTTTGTGATAGCCAATCAGCTTTGCATATTGCCAGAATTTTGGTATATCATGAGAGAACAAAGAATATTAAAATGGATTGCCACTTAGTTCATGACTCAATAACATAGGGTTTGATTACGCCTTCTTACATTCCTACTACGATTCAACTCGCATATATTTCACCAAGGATTTAGGCAAGAAGCACTTTGATTTTTTACTTGGCAAGTTAGGCATCGTGAATCCCCATGCTCCAACTTGAGGGGTGTTACAAGTAATTAGGGAAGTTAGGAGTAATTTATGGGATTTGTTTATATTGTTTCCTTGGCATAAATCATTAGGTTGTATATTTATAAACTGGTTTTCTATTTAATAAAACATATATCTTGCCTAACTTAACATCTCACTAATGTTCAAAGAGTTTCCCCCAACTAGTCCTGGATGGTTTTTAACGAGCCATACTACCAATTCACCGCACACCTCACCGCCCCTAGGTGAGTCACCGTCATAGTCTCGGTGACTCAAGGGGGTTCCCGTCTTTAACCAGTCCGAAAGAGGCACTCTGTGTTCCTATATAAGGAACTTCGAACCTGCAAACAAAAAAAAAGGAACGACAACAATGAGTTCGAAAAGGGGACAGCAACAAAACACACAACAGCAAGCAAACATTTGAACACAAAAAACCAACAGCAAACAACAACGAATACAAAGGAAAAAAACTGAAGAGAAAGGAGTTTACCTCGTCATCACCAGAACCTTCAAAAGTCATCAGAAAGTCGGATCTGTCGAAGGTATATTCCTAGATCTAGGAAGTTTGGGGATTTTTTAGGAGAAAGTGAGGTCGAATTCGGGTTTAGGAGAACTCGGGCTTCTATTTGGGTTTGTTTTTCGAATTCGAACGGTTACGACATGTTCTCAAAATTAACTCAGATCGATTCCCAAAAAACACTAAAAAAAAGCTGGCGGAGACCGTTACGACACCCTAATAAATGATTTAAAAATTCGTCTAAAAGGAAGGCTGGCTGCCCCTTGTCAGTTCCAAAACATGAACGTCATCATTGGTCATTGGGAAGAGAGTGGTTCAGAACCTTATTGCTCGCTTTGACGAGAGTTTCCTATCGAGCCTCATCCCCATTTCCCTTGGCCACTTCCAACAGATTTGTTTCTTTCTTATTGCTGGTCATGTTTTCCATAGAGTTCATTTGATTTGATTCCTGAGGTTCTATAGGACTAGAGCCGACCCGGACACCATAGTTAACTATATGATCAGAGACGCTTGCTATCCATTCCCTCGGTGCCGGACGCGGAGGGGTATAAATTCGCCTGGTTTTCGAACTTTTAACCCAGGGGGTTATATTTTTTGTTACCTTGGTTGTATTGTTCCTGTGTTTGATATTTTTCCACCCGGTTGTGTCCTCTGTCCTTGGTTCCCAGACTCAATGATAGTAACTGCTTCATGATTACTTTTTTTTTCATGCCCCTTTTCTGATGCATGCTCGATTAATAGTTCATCAGGTTACCATTTAGTGAGATAACCACCGCTCCTTTGGCTGCGTTGTTGGTCATTTTATTCTTTTTCTCTGGTTCTGATTGCATCGGTGTTACCTTCTTTTGAGATTCACTTTTTCCTAGGGTTTCTAAGTTTAGCGTTTTGTCAATTTCTTTGTTCTTGCACCTTGCTTATGTTGGTGATTTGCCCTTCCTGTTGGAATATTCTAGATCTCTCTTTCCTCATCCCCATCGTTCACTTCCAGTACGTCAATCCTTGACCCACTAAGATTCACCTTTGCATTATTAGTATTCTTGTTAGTCCTGTTTTGCTCATTGGCCCTACGCCTTCTATTCCTGACCAACATCCATGGTCCAAATGGGTTAGTCTCCATTGTACCAGGTTCTCCCCCCTGTTCCTTTGTTGTTTCCTTTGGTCGATTGTCTGATCCATACAATCACGTGTGATGGATGTTTTTCTGACATTGAGAATGACCTGCTCCACGGCTGGATTGTTAAGTAGCTCTTCGTAGATAGTCCAAGGCCCCTCGGTGCGGACTTTAGAGGAGTCTTTTCGTCCGCAAATCAAACGAGAAAGTAATTGTTATCTAGATCAATAAGCTCCATAATGCTTGTATTCTTGCTAGTAGAGCCTTATACCCGACAATGGCCGATGCACTAATCCGGGTAGGGGTTAACCGCATCCTATTATTTTAGAAAAATAATTAAATTTAAATTAATGTGTTAAGGAAAAAATAAATAAATAAATAATATTGCATACCAATTATTTTTATAAAAAAATAAAATTTTTGATTTTATTCTTAAATTTTTTAATGTTCCTATCTATTTAGTCATGAACCCTATCGGAGAATTTCACTTTCGGGAATGCTCCAGAGCGATCGATGACCTCTTCATCCAAAACAATAACTTCCTCTTCTACCAATCGTAGACCTCTACTGACCCCTGCCATGCTCACATAGGGGGCTTTTCCTTTCTCTGACTCTCTTTCTGATATGTCCCGCTTTGAATCGTTCTTCTCCTCGCCTCCATCCTCAGTCGTATTCATGGATTCCATAATCTCCCTGCATTTTATTTCCCCTTCTGTTTCCATGTTCTTAGTAGTCGGCGTGCAGCTTACTTCTGCATCTATCGCCTGGATTAAAATTTTCTGAATATATTAATAAGAAGTTTAGTTTATTATGGAGAAATTCAAATTGATATCATCTTTTTGTATTCATTATATTTGATAAATTAAAATTTAAATCTGAAATAAGACTTATGAATATCATTTTGGTGTAAAATCTAGCCTTCATTATTAAACAATAGGAAGGGACTTCAACATTTATTATTACTCTGATGCAATGTTGAAAACACCATCCGTTAAGTAGCCAACCGGGATAAGATCCTCCGGATTGGATAACGGGGCTCCGAAAAAACTTGGTGGGTCTTTAATTGGATAACGGGGCTACGAAAAACCATGTATTATCGTTGGAAACAATCCCCCGATGTAAAAGTAGGCTTTTTCTGCTTCCAACATGGTTATTACCATAAAATTTATGGCTATGAATGTGGGTGCAACATGCAAACTCATACATACAACTGTGTTTACCTTTCAAGTTATTTCCTCCATTTCTATAGGGGAAAAAAACAAACCAAGCAAAGCAACCACATCGAAACATGCATGCATTGCCATCTGCAGCAGAGTCGAGTACAGCTCTACCTGTTTTTGCCTGCGCCAATCACGTCGAAGATTTGTTAGACTAACGCTTAAATATAATCTATTCTAGTTTGTTGTAAGAGAAATTATTTCATGTTCTGAGAATCATAAATTCTAAAATAACTTCTAAATAGTTATCCACTCTTCATTTACACATAATAAAAAGATGAATATTCACTTAAAAAAATGAGATTAAAAAATTATTATTTATTGAGACCGGATGAAGTACTGGTATGAGACCATTTAATAATTTTTCCAAAAATTAAAAAGAAGCAAAGTGACATAACTTTCCAGCTTATTTTGCAGGGACCAGCTAGTTGCAATTTTTTTCTTTTTTCTTTTTTTTGAGAAAACCAGCTAGTTACTTTTGCGTGAATGGCGGAGTCATATTGTAATTCTGGACCTGAGATTAGCAGGTCAATTATATGCATGTAGGTCCCCTTTGGAGTTGAAAATATTATTATTTTTGTCCCAGTACCCACCATGGGGTTGTGCTGTCAGTTCCACATATTAATCAAAGCTATAACAGAAGCTAACGAATGAGACAAATCTCAAGAATGATGGCTCCAGTCTTTCTTAAATCTCTTTTTCAAAAGTTTATTTGTCAGCTTGTTAAATTGGAACTTTGCAATAACTTAACGTTCAAACTATTTTGAAACTTTAATGTATGGTCATGAACATGCCAGTTAATTGTGTAGTTCAGAGTTTGTAATGATCGATTCGAATATAGGATGTTATTTTATAACGAAAAGTCGAAAACGGATGAAAACCAGGGATGAACTTGGTGTAAATTGCTGACAGAAGTTCTACTTTGGGTTGGAAGTTTATTTCAATTCTATTGCTAGTGTTACAGTGACTTCAAACACATTTGAAACTCTCTGTACACTGCTATATTTCTTTTGTTCACCTAAAAAAAGACATATATTACATCCTCTTCTAATGATCCATACTCTCTCTTGCCTTCTTCAAGTGATTTTAACATAAAAAAAAGTGTAGAACCTTCTTTATATATATTGCTTCTATGTGTCATGTCTTTCTCGTTCCGCCGCTTCGAAATCAACAGAGGGGGCAGATCGATCCATCGGAGATTTACTTCGTCCGGATATTATGTACTTGCGGGAGATGTAAAAAAGAACGAGTAACGGAAAAGGCGTAAAAGTGCTTTGTTTATGTATAGATTAGCAGATTGTCACTGGTAACCTAACTAACTCCTCTATTTGTCTGTGCCTAGACGACAGCGGAAATGCCGCTAGGTATAGCAGGAGCGAAGGGGCTATCTGGCAGATTGAGTCCATCGCTGCAGATGAATGAACATTCGAAACGATCATTAAAACCGATGGATAAGATGACAAATATGTGTAGTTTTAGGTTTAAGATCTTATACCTCTCCTGGTCATTGTTGTCTGTCTCTACATGCTTTATTTTTCCATCAGATGCAGTGCCAGTGTTGAGAGCTTCCAGCAGAAAATTGAAATTGGTTGATGGGAAACCGAGTTGATCTGCTCAGCGGAGAAGATATGTCATCGGATAGAATTAAAGAGGTCTGATAATGTAGAAAAGTTCGATACCTTCCGAGACTTTAAACCCGTCAATGGAGTGGGCGAAAAAGGACTGATTCGCCAGAGGCTTCTGTGCCAAATGAATCTCCGAAAGGTGCCTCCTCGGAGGTTGAAAGAATTGCTCAGGATCTTCTACAAAATGCTTCTTGTACAGCCTAGACGTTGCATATCCTCTCGGAACTGAGAAATCACAAATATCAGACCAGTACAGTTATTTTACTCGGAAATCGGACTTGTCGATGAAGTTAAATCGTCGTCTGAATAAAAAAGGGCAACGGAGCTCATATTGAAACACCTGTGTTAAGTTCCTGAAGAAAAATAGATGGCATTTGCCAGACCAGACTAAAGAAAGTTACAAAAGAAGCTAATTACTTGAGTGAAGCTCGGGTTCCATGTCTATATAATGGGGAGAATAAAACATCGGAGACTCAATTCTTTCCTGGTACTTCCTGCATGAACATAAAATCTTCGTATATAAATCACTATTATTCACAGTTCTCGAATGCAGAAACGAAGAGGAGAAACAATTATCGTTACCTGTCAACAAGCTTTGGTTTTTCCCTGTAAGGCTTCACAAGAACACGAGCCCCACAGACATAATGTGGATTTCCTTTGGCTAAAATCATCTTCACAGTATCTGCACTAACAAAGGTTACGAACCCGAACATCCGTTTCTGCTGGCAGGGAATACGGACATCTTCGACTTGTCCATAATTGCTGCATTCATAAACTCGGGAAAGTCAGAAAACTTTGGAACATCGAATATGACTGCAATTAAGCCTGCAAAAGAGTTCCATTATCATGTTACCTGAAATAGTTGGAGACATCATCTTCACTAAAAGAGCTCTCGGCTGGGAATGTGAGATATATCTGTCGTGATCCGCTTACAATCGGACCAGGATCATTTCTATCGTTTTGATTTTCCATGTACTTCGGTGCATCTTCGACCAAAATGACAGAATGCTGTCCATGAGGCCTGCGACTCAATCACGAAAGAACAAATCGAATGAATCCTCAAAGTTAAATATGTTTTTTTCGGTGCGAAATTAGAACATAATTCATAAATCATACTTGTCAATGACTCGAATTGCATTCTTCAATCGAACGAGAAGCTTTGTCAAGCTGTAACCTGCTTTACCATGTCTCTGACTCTCTGTGAGATAACCATCTGCCTGCAGAACTTTTCCATATTTCTCATAATACAACAGAGGGAGCGATGCAATCGAAACAGGATCCCCTCTCTTCATTTTCAGAAGCTCGACTAACTCGACCTCTAACTTCTCAAGTGACATAACATGATTGTCACCAACAGTATCCATCGAATTCTGGATAAACATTTGAGGGAAGCCATCCGAAACTTGACCATGAAAGTACCTACAGTTACTTCCATGCTTACAGTACCCTTTGCTGAAATAATGACAGGTCTTAACAGGGAAGTTGTGCGGATTCTGATATCGACGTCCTACTTTAACATCATGATTGGCGATAGAAAACCCGGCGTTCTCCACAAACTCCATTGGATCTTCCAGACTCAATTGTTGAGTTTGAGCCTGCAGATTGGACATCGAATCCAAGTAACCAGATGCCGTAAAATCCGGGCTATGCTTAGCAACAAGTTGCTGTTCCCAGTACGGAGGTGTCACCTGGACACTTGTAGGGGACAGAAAAAGCTTGGAGGAAACTGATGGTGAAACAGGAGGCGAAAAGGAAGTGAACTGTGAGGGCAATTCGAGAGCAGGGATGGGGTTCATCGGAGGCGATATCGGGGGCGAGACGGATTTGAACGGCAGATGCTGCAGTTCAAGCTTCGATTTATAAATGACCTCCTGCATGACTATATCAGGGCAAGTAGCCAACTGGACAATCTCTTGCTCACCATAGTCTTGCAAAAGAATATAGCCTATGATCTTTGAAACATTTTCCGGATCAATTTTGTTGATTCTATTGAATAATATCTGTGTATAGTCCGAGAATTCCATCTGTTTAATCACTGCAAATTTTAAAATATATATTTATATTAATTATTCAGAAAATAATAATAATAATAATAATAATTACATCCAAATCTCAGCCATGACATCTAAGTAGACTGTTAGGTTAAAAGCAGTGAATCTATGTATTCAGGGGGGGGGGGATGCAGATCCACTCAACAAGAAGGTAAAAACACAAAAAAATCTTTAAAAAATGAAAATTTATTTTGCAAAGAAACTAAATATGGCAAACAAATATAATCATTAAACACAAAATATTCTTTTTCCATACAAAGAAACATATTAGATTATTAAAGGAAAAAAATACTACCAGAAATGTTAAAATAAAGTGAGAGAACTTGGAACTTGATTCCCAGCCTAAAAGGAAAGATTTTTAAGAGTCCAAAGTTTTCAAAACTGAAAACCAAGAAATTTTCTCGAGAAAAAAATAGCAATAATTTAAAAAATTACAATTACATTTAACATAATCTCTGGGGGGGGGGGGAATTAAGCCTTTGGAAAAACAATATTCAAAGGTGGAAGTAGACCAAACAAAGAATCATTAAACTTACCGACCAAAAGTATATCTTTTTTGAGTGTTGAGTTTTAAATTGCAAAGCTGCTCACTGATAGCTGAAACTACAGCATTTTAAGCTCTGTTTGTCTCCCGAGAAAACTTGGCTTCGCTTCTTGTAATGCCTCTGACCTTCATTTCTAACCGACACAACTTTATATAAAGGAAAAAGAAAGTCCCTTTAAATGTTAATTTTTTCTCGTTTTGGAGATTATTTATAATTTTCAGTAAAACTTAACAGAGAATGTTAAATCTTTTACAGATAGATTTCGAAAGTAAGTTACAGAGAATTAAGGCAATATAATTTGCTTGATTTTCGATTTTGATTCTAACAGTTTTGACTATTTAAATATTACATAATCATTAAAAAAGAGTACAGAAACTCAGCGTCGCTGAATTTATTTATTCATTGAAATATTATTTTATTTTTGAAAATTCCAATGTGCTAAATTTAGATTTTCCGATATACATGTAGGCAAAAATGAATATCTTGAATGGCTCAAACGTGGGTTGTATTTTGTCTTTGAAGGAGATAACTCTCCTCAAACATTTAACGTTCGATCGCCGATTTAATTGTTATCAACGGTCTAGATTGCTGAGGACCATGGGGATGACATGCACCTTACTAAATTTGCAAATTAACGTAATTTTTCACATTTTTTAGAATTAAGTTATCATTGAGGTATATTTTACGTCTATGAAGGTTAAATTTTAAGATTTATAATTATTATTTAATAATATATGTTTAAAGCCGAATAAATATATTTATCATAATTAATTTGCATTGATATTAAAAGTAATATTAACTTGATATGATTTACATATTAAACACACTTTACATGTTAATATACACTTTTATTTTTTGGATAAATCAATTTTATTATCCAAAGAGCAGTTAACTGCTACAAAAAACAGCAAGTTCTTACTACAGTAACAAGAACTTACAATCAATGTTTACAATAAAAAAACTTCAATAAACTATACCCATTGATTACAAAGTGAGATATTCACACTATCCTTCCTGTTAATGCTCCTCCCCCGTAATTTTATAGCCACTGTATCTTGAATGGCATGGAACAAAGCTTCAAAAGATCTCGAGCAGCCTGTAAAAACCCTTTTGTTCCTCTCTTCCCATATTGTATAAGTAAAAGAAGTCCAAGCAAGCTTCATGATAGTGACGAGAAGGGATTTACCTTTCCATGTAGCACAAGCCCAAGATATGTGATCATCCCAAGAGCATGGTCTTCTTCGAATTCCATTTAGATGTAAAACTGAATCCCATAATGAGCTAGACAAAGGACAATGAAGAAATAAGTGATCCCTAGATTCCAAAGAGTCACTGCAAAGCACACATTGATTATCAATCTAAATTCCCATTCCAATCAATCTATCTTTAGTTGGAAGTTTATTTAGCAAAGCCATCCAGGTTATAATGCTAAATTAGGGATATGGAGAGGGAACCAAATTAACTTGTGCCAAATTTTTTTATCCTCCTGTTTCTGATTTAAGCCAACAGTCCTTGATAGTAAGAGCTCCCATTGAAAGAACATTCGAAGCTTGAGACCTCATTTTAAGCATACACCGGAGACTCCAGCTCATGTTAAGACCAATTTCCAGATTCTAGAAATCTGAATTTTTAATAATATAACTCCTAATCCAGGCTATCCATAAAGAACCATTACCCGTAAGCAGCTTCTGAATCAAGTGCATCATACATGCCTTGTTCCAGGACTTTATGTCTTTAAGTCCTAAACCCCCTTCAGATTTAAGTAGGCAGAGCTTTCCCCAGCTCACTCTTGCACCCGAAGCTGCCTTGTCCGAACCTTTCCAAAAGAACCGTGAACATAGCTGCTCAATTCTGTGAAGAACAGATTGGGGTAGGATTAACTACCTTCACCAAAAATTTGTGATGCTAAGCAGGACAATTTTAATAAGCTCTAATCGACCAGCATAGCTCAAGTGTCTTCGTGACCATTGATGAAGACATTCCCTAATATTATCGATGAGAGCAACACAATCTTTGTCAGAGAGTTTCCTAGAAACTAGAGGAACTCCCAGGTATCTAACTGGTAAATAGCCTTGATTGAACCCAGTAATACGCTTGATTTCCTCAATTTGCCTAGGGGATATTCTAGCAGTATAGAATTCACATTTTTGAGCATTGATTTTAAGGCCATAAATAGCATAAAAGTGTTCCAAAACACTAATAATTCCCACAACAGATTCAACATTCCCCTTACAAAAAATAAGAGATCATCGACAAATGTGAGATGAGTTAAACCAATTTTTTTGCATCTAGGGTGAAATCCGAATATACCTCGAAGAGCAGCCTTGTTGAGAATTTTGGATAACACTTCATAGACAGCACGAACAACAGGGGTGAGATTGGATCACCTTGCCGTAAGCCTTTGGCTCCTTTGAATTATCCTATGAGACTTCCATTGAACGAGATAGAGTACCGAGCTCCTGTAAAACAAGCTTCAACCCACTTTATGAAAGTAGGAGGAAGGTCAATAGCATTAAGAACCGTCAAAACAAATCCCCAATGCAGTGAATCGAATGCCTTGTGAATGTCAATTTTCAAAGAGCATCTGGGTGAGATAGTCTTCCTACCATAACCTTTGACAAGCTCCTGTGCCAAAAGAGTGTTATCAACAATGTTCCTTCCTTTAACAAAAGCGGATTGATTGAGAGAAATAATATCAGGGAGTAAAAGAGTGAGTCTTTTAACCAAGATTTTTGTAATAGCTTTGTATACCAATGTGCAACAGGAAATAGGCTGAAATCCTGACTTTGCAAGGATACACTTTTATTGCCATACTCTTTATAGTTTTATTTATATTTCTAAATATAGAATTATATATTTATACCATATACTCCACGAGAGAGCATTTATACTATTGTAAAAGTTGTTGATGTAATCATTTAAAATTTATTTTCAATTGTGGTTTAATTTTATTTTTTCACTAAAAATATAATAAATTGAAAAAAAAATTGTTTTGAGAGAAATATGAACAGTGAGGATATATTGATAATTAAAAAATAGGGTAAACTATTTATTTGGTATCCCACTTATTTTGTGTTTCTATTCTGATGAGTTAATTGGTTTTTAAATAAAATCATACTTAAGGCTATGTTTTATTTCAATTTTAGTCATCAATCATTAAGTTTCTGTTAAAATTTAACAGGAATAATATCATGACACGGTATAGTTCTAATTCGTTCACTAATATTAAGTTAATATTTATAATTGACTATAAGTAATCAAACGATTCTGATTTACTCATTCAATTTTTTGGGTTGGATCCAAGATTTGTTTGAGAAAACAGATGGCATTTCAGCATATGAAATAGTGGTGGACAAGTGTAGGGTGTGGTCGATGGTGAACGTGGTGGTCGTCTTCATAGTTTCTCGTCGGTGTGACAGTATGCCGTTATCTTTTCTTACATTGAAAAAAACTGAAAAGGAGAATGAGAAATTTAAAGTTTGACTCATATATTTAAGATGGTATTAAATTTGATGAATTATTTTGAATTAGGATCTAATAGTTAAAATGTATAAGTTTTCGGACTAAAACTGTTATTATATCATGACATATTATTTCCTTTGAGTTTTAGTGAAGAATTAATGGTCAATGACAAAAATAAAAGTAAAACGTAACGTTAGATATAATTTTATTAAAAAAATAATTGAATAGCTGACATAAAATAAATGAGATACAAAATAAATAATTTACCTAAAGTGTCGTGGGGTACAGGAAAAATTGAAGAGGGCGTATTCATGAAGGTGGTGGCCAATTCTACAGGCCGGACAAGAGGGGTTCATAGGTCAAAAGATAGAGAGAAGAAAAGAATTTTTAAAGAGATTTTGTATTTGAAAAATAAATTAAATATTTTTATTAACAAGCTAAATAATTAATATCGTGATTTTTTAAACAATAAATTAAGATATGATTAGTGAGAAGGGGGTTTTCTGTTTTGATTATCATTATTCTACGGATCTATTTAATTATGTATTTTGATTAGATTATTTTTTTTGGTATAAAAAAGCTTAGGTCAGAAGTGACTTCCCCAGTTCATGGCCAAAGCATACTTAAGATCTAATTGGGATTTACAAAGGAATTTACATATTGTCCACCAAGATTGATGGTGGTAGGATTCGAACTTAACCTTACAAATTCAAATTCATGAATCCCAACCACTTGTACCAACATTAATTGACACTTAATAATTTAACCTCATCCTCTTAATAAAAAATAAAAAATATACATCAGTCGATATCGTAGTGTATCATTACCAGTATAAACTATAATTAATCCCATACTTCATTAAGGTGTGTTTGATAAGAAGAAATTAAAATTGAAGTATTCTAAATTTCAGCGTTCTAATATACTACTCCCACTATTTATATTATTTTTGTACAAACCAACTTATCTCGGTATACAAAGGAACTATTGTTGTTCTTAGAGGTCACGAGTTCAAGCACTAGAAACTGCAGCAAGGTGACTGAGCGTTCATTATCAAATTGTTGACAGTATTTAGAACATGTACTACTTTATAATCACTTTAGTTTAATTATAAAAAAATTACATATATTTATCCCCAAAAAAATTGCATATATAAATTTAAATATTATGTATTAAAAAGGTTTTTTTTATCTAAATATCACTAAAAATTAATATAAAAAACATTCGTTTGAGATTATTTCTCAAATTGACACCATGTCAAGTAGGAAATGTGTTTTTTTACAGAAGCTCCTTCTAACTATGTAATGGCAATATGGACACAAATTGTACCAAAAAAATAAAGATTAAAAGATTAAAAATATAGAAAAAAAAATATGAATTTTGCTCAAAAAAAATAAACGCACACATTATATGTCGAAAACATTATTTGTATAAGCACGAGCACAAGTCTAATAACAGCGACATGTATATTAGTTTTATCTTCAATCATTCAATTAACGTATGTTTAAATCTCATATCTACACAATGTGATATTTGAAAAGCTTATGTTAGAACATATTGATTTTTTATATGTCATGTCAAAAATAAATCTTGAATTTAATGAGATTCATGTCAATATGTAAGAAGATATTCAACAGAAAAAAACCATATGATAATCTCAGACGTCTATTTCTACTTGTATAACAT